TTCTCTTGCCTCAGCCTCCCAAGTGCTGGGATTACAGGCATGTGCCACTATGCCTAGCTATCATAGATTAAGGCTTTTGAAATGTGCTGCTAAATTGCCCTCCTGAAAAGTTATGATCAGTTTATGTTTCAGCCATCAGTGTTACAGAGGATTCATTGCTTTATACTCACTGACAATCATTTTTAAAGTCAATAATTACCCTCATATTTCCCCCCACTTTAATTTTGAAAAATTTCACAATTCAGACAGGTTGAAAGTACAGTATAACAAATATCAGTACATCTTTTAATTGGATTCACTAAACGTTAACTTTTTCTAAAGTTCGTTTTGTGTTTTGTTTTCTCTGAATTCTTTGAAAGTAAAGAGAGTTGGGCCTGTAACCCCAGCCTGTAATCTCAGCACTTGGGACACTGAGGCAGGAGACTCTGTGCAAGTTTACGGAAAGCCTGGGCCACAAAGTGAGTTCAAGGCCAGCCTGAACTGCATAGCAAGACCCTGTCTCAAAAAGACAAAAAAAAAAAAAGAAAAAAAAATTTACTCTTAATTTGATGTATTCTTTGGACTTCAGAGCTAATTGCAGAAATCTTTTGGAGCTTGGGAGTACTTATACCTATTCCATAGCCTCCAGTTTTACTATAGTCAGTGACCAAGCTTTGGGCAAAGGAGAAATTCAGTTTTTACTGGCATCATGGAGGATTATGGTTTGTTTTCAGTCAGTGTGTTCTTTTGATAAATACAAATAGTAGCCAAATATACGTTTTAAATGTGTGGGGAAAAACATAAAGAACGTTGCATATTTGTTCTTAGACCTAACAGTGATCCAAATATTTCCTTCAGATTTGCCTGTGCTTAATGAGAAAAGTGATGCAGACCATGATTCTCCACCTGCAAAAAAAAAGAGAATAGGTTTTTTCCAGACTTACGATCCGGAATATTTAAAAGTTGGTTTTATTATCTGTCCTGGATCAAAAGAGAGTTTACCAAGACCACAGTGTGTCATTTGTGGAGAGATCTTACCCAGCGAAAACATGAAGCCGGCAAATCTTTCTCATCATTTGAAGACAAAACACTCAGAATTAGAAGACAAGCCAGTAGATTTTTTTGAACAGAAATCTCTTGAAATGGAACGTCAAAACAGTTCTTTAAAAAAGTGTTTACTAGTTGAAAAGTCACTTGTGAAAGCTTCTTATTTAATTGCTTTCCAAATCGCTGCCAGCAAGAAGCCATTCTCCATTGCAGAAGAACTAATTAAACCATATTTAGTAGAAATGTGTTCAGAGGTTTTGGGTTCAAGTGCTGGAGACAAAATGAAAACCATTCCTCTTTCTCATAATACAATTGGATACAGGATTGATGAACTGTCTGCAGACATTGAAGATCAGCTGATTCAAAAGGTCAGAGAGTCCAAGTGGTTTGCCCTTCAGATAGATGAGTCATCAGAAATCTCAGCTGTGACCCTTCTCTTGTGCTATATTCGTTTCATTGATTATGATTGTAGTGATATAAAAGAAGAATTACTGTTTTGCATTGAAATGCCTTCTCAAATCAGTGGTTTTGAAATATTCGAGCTAATAAATAAATATATTGATAGTAAATCTCTGAACTGGAAATACTGTGTTGGCCTCTGTACCGATGGGGCTGCAAGTGTGACTAACAGATGTTCTGGCTTAAAGGCAAAAATTCAAGAAGTTGCTTTGAATTCAGTGGCATTTACACATTGTTTTATTCATCGTGAACATTTAGCAGCTAAAAAGTTGTCTCCATGCTTACATGAAATTCTTTTGCAGTCAGCACAAATTTTAAGTTTTGTAAAGAGCAATTTGTTGAATTCCCGAATGCTAACAATTTTGTGTGAAGAGATGGGATCTGAGCATGTGAATTTACCTCTTCATGCTGAAGTACGTTGGATATCAAGAGGAAGAATTTTAACAAGATTATTTGAATTGCGACATGAAATGGAAATATTTTTAAATCAAAAGCATTCAGATTTGGCTAAGTATTTTCATGATCCGGAGTGGGTTGCAAAGCTGGCCTATTTAGCAGATATATTTTCACTTATAAATGAATTAAATTCAAGTCTCCAAGGAACCATGACTACTTTCTTCAGTTTATATAATAAAATTGATGTATTTAAGAGAAAGTTAAAACTGTGGTTGAAGCGCACACAAGAGAATGATTATGACATGTTCCCTTCATTTTCCGAATTCGCAAACTCATCAGATGTGAATGTGAGAAACATCAGAAGCATTATTTTTGAGCACCTGAAAGGACTTTCTCAAATGTTCCATGACTGTTACCCACCAGAGGATGACTTGCGTTCAGGAAATCTGTGGGTAATTAACCCTTTTATAAATCACCAAAATAATAATCTCACTGACTTTGAAGAAGAGAAACTAACACAGTTATCTTCAGATTTAGGATTTCAGTCAGTATTTAAATCAATGTCTATAACTCAGTTTTGGATAAATGCAAAGATACGTTACCCAGAACTCCATGAAAAGGCAATGAAAGTCTTACTGCCTTTTTCAACTGTCTATTTATGTGATGCTACCTTTTCAGCTTTGACAGAGTCAAAACAAAGAAACTACTTGGTTTCTTGCCCGGCCTTAAGACTTGCAGTCACATCATTAATTCCAAGGATAGAAAAACTAGTAAAGGAGAAAGAATAGCAATGTGCATATTGCTGATAGCATCAAAACCTATAATTTTGTGTTAAAGTTTGTATAAATATCCTAAAGTATAATTTCCTAATGTGGGTTTGTGTTTGTGGATTTGTGATTAAATAAGTGCTTTAATAAATTCTCCCTTTTTGTGAAGAGATTTAATTGTTACACATTTGTACATAATTATGTTTATTTTTTAACAATCTAAGGTAGAGAATTTAGTTCTTACATGGGCTTACAAACTTGGATTAGTGACCAAGATTGCAGCTAATAAAAGGCCCAGTTGATAATGTAATGGAAAACCTGGATGTTGAAACAGTTTGGATTTAGAAGGATAAGAAATGCAGTCTTCATCCAGACAGCCACCTGCCCGCCCTAGGTTGTAGAAAACAGAGATCTAAGTAGGTTGGCTAACTGGAACTGGAAGCAGCATGTGAGTTTGAGGCCCTTATTTGGGGCTTGTCTGACCCACTAGACCAGGGCTTGGCAAACTTTTTTCACAAAGCCAGGCATGGTGGTGCACACCTGTAATTCTGGCACTCACTGAGAGTTCAAGGGCAGTCTGAACTGCATAGTGATACCTTGTTTCAAAAAACCAAAACCAAACCAACCAAAAAAACTTCTTTTCATAAAGGGCTAGGTAGTAAATATTCTAGGCATTGTAGCTATCCTGTCACAAGCACCATGAGTTCTTTGACTCAAAAGATGAAAGGCAAACACAGCCAGTGAGAATTAGTAAAGGGAAAGTTTATTAGAATCACATGGATGCAGTATTGGGCTGCTCTATAGAACAGCAAAGAAAGAAAGGATAGTGAAAGAGGCTATTCCAGAGAAGTCCTATGGTTGGGGTTCATTGAAATTATCTATCTATCTATTTATATCCCTCCCCCCATGATGGAACCCAAAGCCTTTGAACTGAACTTCCTGTCAGCCTTTTAAAAATGTTTTAGACAGCGTGTTGCCCAGGTTAGGCTCAAATTTGCAGCCTGCCTCCTAGAGTGCTGGGATTATAGGCATGTGCCACCATGCTTACTTAGCTAGATTACTTTTAAAATGTTAGCATGTGCAAGGAGTGTAAAAATCACAGTTGTATATGCACGAACATGAAGCAGTCACAGAATCTACATATGATTTTGTACTCAACCCTGTTTTATGCTTAGCAGCCTGTAGTGACCCCCCCCCCAATGGGTATCTCAGCATTTAAATGAGGGTCTCAGTTACCTTCCTTCTCTGGCAAAGTCAACTCCCACTCAGTGCCCGTCCTATTTTTTTCTTAAAAAGAATGGAATGGGTATGGTGACACAGGTTTAAGACCTGTTTTTACTTCAAACAATGGAGTGAGGTGAGGTTAGTGTAAGGGTTGTTCACCTTCAAAAGAATGTTTTTCCCCTTGGCTGCCAGCTGTCCCTAGCCAACTTTTTTCTCCTGCCTTAGTTCTGCGGCCACTCTGCAGTTGCAATGCAGAATAGCCAGACATTCACAAATGAGTGCGGCTGTTGGAATAAAACTTTAAATCTGTGAACACTAAGATATGAGTGTCATGTAATTTTCGTGTGTCATGAAAGACGCTTGAAAAATTTTCATCATTAAAAAATGTAAACATCTTGAGGGGAGGGGGAGAATTAAAAAAGACAGCTGGCCAAATTTAGCCCATAGTTCGCTCATCTAGCCTTAGATGTCCAGGCCTTGTTAGGTGAACGCCTTTTTTCCCGTGGCTCCTGGTATCTGAATTATATTTTCTTTTGTCTTTTTTGGCTGGCCTTGAGCTCACTTTGTAGCCCAGACTGGTCTCAAACTCACAATGATCCACCTGCCTCAGCCTCCCAACTGCTGGGATTACAGGTGTGGGCTACCACACACAGCTGAATTTTGAAACAACTTTCACATTTCAATTTCAGACTAGAAATTAGAAGGAAAATATATTTCTGGCCAAGAGGGAAAAGGACCTTTTTATAATTACTGGTTATTCATTTAGCTAGAGATTAGCTTAATAATTTCCAACTAGCTTTCCTAGCCCGTACTGAGGAGCAATCATGGCCTGTTACCAGCTCAGGACAATTGATAGGGGGTCTGCCTTCCTCTTGGGGTTGGGTGACAGCTCAGACCCTGTAGGTAGTGTGGCCCAGGCGGGACTGAGGCCGGGCCCTTAGAGCCACATGCAGACACCCGCGCTTGCTTCCTCTCGGTATTGCCTGGGAGACGGAGACCTCCCTAACTGCGTGGCCGGTACCAGTTGGCAGAGGGTGGGCCTCAGGGCACCCATCCGCGCGATGACGCGCCCCGCCCACACGCTTTCGCCCCGCGCCCCTCCCGGGGGCGAGGCCGAGCGGCTGCGGCGCGGCCCGGGGGAGGAACTGCGCCGGGAGCGGGGCGGGTTCTCGGCGCGGCGGCGGGCCGCGGCCATGGCGTTCGTGCTCACGCTGCGCGTCCTGCTGGGCGGCTTTTTCGCGCTCACCGGGGCGGCCAAGCTCTGCCAGCTCTCGGCTCCGGAGTCCGAGCAGATGGTGAGCGGGGCGTCGGGGCCGGGACGGGGGCGGCGTGTGCTCGGCCTGGCCGCCCCGCCGAGTCCCCGCGGGCCGCCTGCCTCCCGGACCTTCCTAGGGAGTTCCTCGAGTTCTCGAGATTGTCCGAAGGCGGGAGGGGACGGGACTTGTCTTCTGGCTGAGCCCTCGGGGCCCCAGGCAAATTTAGATTGCAAAGAACCGCTCGGGTTCCCTGGGGGGAGGAATATGCGGTGGGAAAGTGGCCGCGGGTGCTCCCCACCTGTTTGCTTCAGAGTGCTTGGAGGTTGTGAGACGGGATTTGAGTAATCTTCCTTGTGCGGGATAGGAAGCCCGCCCCGAGGGTGAAGGGTAATCTGCTAAAGATTGTGCAGCTGGTCAGGAAGCAGGACCCAAACTAGACGCTCCTAACTCAGAATTCAGGGTCCTTCCCCCACGAGGCCAGAAGTAGAAGCCTCCTTCCTATTTGGCTCCAAACTGGGGCAAGGTTTCGTGCCCTGGCCACCAATGCCCCCAGTCCCTCAAAGAAGCCAGACTTGCTTGTTGTTCTTATGGGGAGCTGAACTTTAACATACTGTATAACACTGATCCAAGTCCTACACACTGAGCTCCGTTCCCGATATTTACTCACATTTTTAGGGCCTCACTAAGTTGCCAAGGCTGGGCTCACACTTACCATGCTCAGATTACAGGCTGTGCCACTATGGACAGCTAAGAAGGGGAAGTAGCCAGGCCTGGGACAGGAGACAGGAAGGCGACAGAGGTCTCCCTTTCCTAGGCCTGGCCGTTCCCTCTTCTCTGGCTTAGGGTGGTGGGTTATTGGGAGCAGTTCATGGCTAGAGCCAGAAGCCTTCATTTCTTCCAGGGTTGAGTAGGAGAGGTAAATCTAAGGTGACAAGCAGTAGCCCTGAGGGTCAGAGTGTGTTTGTCATTTGACCCAGGGCAAAATGAGTCATTTAACAGCCAGATAAGTCACTTTGAGCCCCTTCACCCACTTTTTGTATCCACCATAGTGAGATGTAAGCTGCCACACTGGAGATTGAAGATAAAATCTGTTTAATGAGTTCTACCCGTTTTCACATATTCCCTGCAGAGCAGCCTGAAGAGAAACCAGGCTCAGAGGAAGGATCTGTGATATTCCTAGGGCCTTGGCATTCGATGGGAAGGCCCAGGCCTCATTCCCTCTAACTGGGATTTGGCTCTGAGTTATCATCTATTGAAAGGTCGGATGAGGAAGTTAGGCAGTCTGGATACCACCACCCAGCCCTTCTCAGTGGAGCATAGGTTTGTTCCCTGATGGCAGTGCTCACCCCTATGAGGGATCCTCTCCTCTCTCAGGCCTGGGCCTGATGTAGAATAGCAGTTGCTTTTCTGGGGGAGTTGAGGGGACAGGTGTACAGTGCCCCTGTGGGGCCTCTGGGCAATGCATCCTTGGCCAGTGTGGCTGACAGGTATTCCCTGCCACCCCTAGAAAGCCCTGTTCCTGCAGTTTGCTGAAGTGTTTCCCTTGAAGGTGTTCGGCTACCAGCCTGATCCCATGAACTACCAAACAACTGTGGGCTGGCTGGAGCTGCTGGCTGGGTTGCTGCTGGTTGTGGGCCCACCGATGCTACAAGAGATCAGTAACTTGTTCTTGACCCTGCTCATGATGGGTAAGGGGGCCAGCTGGCCTGGGGAAATGGGTCTTCTGGGAGACAGTGATAGATTTAGCTGTTTCACCTTGCTGCTGTCACCTCTTTTCTGGGAACAGGAGTGCTTCCTGCTGTGCTTCCAATTCCACTCTTCAGACTAGGACAGGTGCTTTTGCCACTTAACATACTGTAACACTGACCCCCCGTCAAATATGCTTTCTCTCTCATCACTTGGATGTATTGTAACCTCACAGCCCTTACTCCTTCTTCCACATGCCCACTCCTGCAGTGAGGGGCTGCAGCAGCAGCTGCAACTTGACTTATGTGCCTTGTAGGTGGGGGTAGAGAACAGACAAGCGGGACCCCTGGAACAAGAAGGCAGAGAACTTCCCTAGAGAGGCCCCCTCCTAAGGCTCTGTCCACAAGAGCTGTGAATGTGCAAAGACAGCTGACACTTCAGTGACCAGACATCTTCAGGCTCTTCTACGTCTCCTGCCCAGTGTCACCATTATTGACACTACTGTCACCCTGCCCCCAAGCATTCTTTCTATTTCTTGAGCTTTCTTCGTTTTCAGATCTTTGCCACACTTCCATCACCAATCCTTGGGCCTCCTTCCCTCTAGTAGATGTAGAATTAAGACAGGAAGAATTTTCTCTCAAATCCCCATCCTACCACCTTAGTCCCCAGTTTGGCTGGATCATTTCTCTTTCTTGCCCTCTGATAGGGCCTGTTTGTTCAAGAGGCTTCTGATTCTTGGTCCTGCTTTCTCTGTGAGGTCAGAGATAAGTATAGCTGGTTTGGGATGCGGTAGGTAGTTCCGTGTATAACCAGAGGCTTGGGCTGGAGTGGGTCGGCCTAGGCTGGAACTCCGGAGTCTCTGGATCTCCTCGGTGATCCTGGGGAGACTCAGGGGCCTCACTTTCCATTCCAGGAGCTATCTTCACTTTGGCATCTCTGAAAGAGTCCCTGAGCACCTGCATTCCAGCCATCATCTGCCTGGGGCTTCTGAGGCTGCTGGATATTTGCCAGGCCTTAGGCCAAACTAAAAAGGTGGACAGATATCGTAGGAAGAAGACTCCAAGTATGTTGAAGAAACCCTGGGAGCAGAGAGTCTCTTCGTGCCGGCTGTAACAGCAGGAATATGCTGGAACATACAGAGCCTACCACCTTATTCCAATTTGTGCCTGGTTGGCCAGTGTTGAAAGAACCATCTGGTCTACCTGGCCCTGATTTCTGTCTGTAACTATGCTGCTCTGTTTTGGGGTACATATTACACATTATTACCCTCATATCATGTGAAAATAGAAAATAAGTAAAAAAAATCTGAACCATCCAAAATTCAAGTGTCCCAAAATAATCACTTTTCATGCCTTGGTGTTACTCTTAACCTTTCCTATGCTTTTGTACAGATACATATTTTTAAATGAAAATGAGACAGTATATTCTACTTTATTATCTACTTTTTAAGCCACTGTGTTTTACCTCATTAATGTTAATGGCTATATAGTGTTCCATTATATATATTGTATTTGTCTCCTATAAAGGACATTTGGGTTGTCAATTTTCTGTAATTGTAAACCTCACAACAAATCACTTTGCATACTTACCATATTTGCATTCCCTAGAAATGAAGATGCTGGTTCAAAAGGCATGCACATTTTTAAGGTTATTAATACATATTCAAAAATTTGAAGGCAGTGTTTATTTATTTTGTCTTTTTTTGTGACAGGGTCTCGCTATGCAGTTCAGGCTGGCCTTGAGCTTACTTTGTAGCCCAGGCTGGTCTTGAACTCACAATGATCGTCCTGCCTCAGCCTCCAGAGAGCTGGGATTACAGGTGCATGCCACCACACCCGCCTTGAAGGCAGTGTTTAAATATCTGCTTCTGCCTATGCCCTTCTGAGCCATATGAGGGATTTCTTCCCATTTTTTATCTCTCATAGTTTAAATTTACTGAACTAACAAAGATGGACATTGAGTCATTTTACAGGACCTGAAATCACCAGCCTGTGATGAGGTGTGGCACTCAGTCCAGTGCTCCTTGACTTCTACTTGGATGTGAATGGTACATGGATCTGTGGAATGCTGAATGCCACAGTAGTGCCCAAGGCCTGGGAGGCATTGCAGAGGCCTTTGGAGATCAGAAGGGTATGTGTAGCAGTTCTCAGAGGAAAGCAGGCAACAGGTTAGCGCACTGTCTTAGTTACTTTTCTCTTGAGGCTGAGACCAAATACCCAGCACCCAAAGTTAAAGGGGGGAAGGTTTATTTAGCTCACAGTTTGTGGAGGTTTCAGTCCATAACTGACTAGCTCCGAGGTAGGGAGGCTTGGCCGAGGGGCAAGAGTTCATGTGGCAGAAGACAGCAAAAGCAACAACTAGATGAAGGGAGAGATTCACACCTTGAATCCCAGCATTAGACCGTGAATCAATCACAAATTAGATTCAGCTGCCTCCAAAAAGCCAGCCACCCATGACTGCAGAGGCTTGGCGGGGGGGACATCTAGACATAAACCATAACAGGCACCTACTGCCACGTCACCAACCATCTTACCTTGGTCTAGTGGGGTCCTTTGGGGAAGCAGTATGCCTCCCACAGGGGAAAGGAATGAAGGAAAAGAGTTCATTCATTTCTGCAAGTCTTTAGCCACCAGCCTATAAATCCTTCAGGGTGGGAATAGGAGCTTTGGGGAGTCCCTAGAAGTAAAAGACATCTGTGTGTATTATTCCACTTCATATTCATTATATAGAAAAATGCTGATTCCTGGCGTGTCCCTGACAGTGAACCTCAAGCAAGTTGACACTTGTAGTTGGCTCTTTCCTAGTGTCTGAAGCACAGTGATGCAATGAATCTACCTATAGGAAGAATGGATCAATAGTATGTAAATGCACATGGCATAGTCAAAACCATGAGGAGATTTTTCTCTCACGTAACAAGTTCCGAGATAGCTTAGTTTCAGTTTCAGTTTGCTAATTGAGCTGATTAATAAAAACATTAAGGACCAACGTTTTGGCTTTCTGTTCTGCTGCTTTCAGTTCATTGGCTACTGCTTTTAGAGTTGCAAAATAGCTGCAGCAGCTCCAGACAGGATATTTGCACAGAACATCCAAAGATGAAAAGACAGAGAGGACAGTTGTCCTAGAAGACCCTAGATTTTCCTTCATATCTCACT